GGCCAAGACCCCGGAATGAAAACAAGATATGAAACCAGTTTAGGTGTTCTGTGTGTTGGAGATATCAAAGATCACCTGAACTGACAGCTAATTGCAAAAACTGATTTTAGCCAACAGTTTTCACCTTCCTTACACAATTTTTGTTTTGTTTTCTTAAATCAGACCTAGTGAAGGTGAGCAAGCTAGAAAATATTGAGTTTTTCTTCTCTGTGGCATTCCTTGGAGAATTAGTCAAGTTGTAATAAAATATTTGGAGACAAAGCAGCATGGAGAAGCCAGACAGCTTGAATAATCTGTAAATCTGATGCTAACACACGACATCAGAATAATTATTGCTGCATGGGGCTAGTGGTAACTCAGTGGTAGAATCCTTCCCTTCCATGAGGGAGACCTGGGTTTGAATTATGGTCAATGCATCTCATACAGAGCCGCCACCTGCCTGTCAGTAGAGCCTTTCACGTTGCTATGATACTGCCATGAACAGGTTTCAACTGTGCTTCCTAAAAGGGACCAGGAAAAAAGGTCTGGCCATTTATTTCCAAACAGCAAAGATGCCCTATGGATGACAATGATACGATACACTACTGATCCTGAGAATGGCACAGGACTGGGTAGCATTTTGTTCCATTGTGTGTGGGGTCACCATGAGTTTGGGACCTACTTCAAGGTAGCTAATAACAACAGCAACTATTACTACTGAGGCATGTAAAATTAAAGGCAAAGGTGGAAAAATCACGAAGTAACTATTACAGGTCTAAAGTCCACTGTCTTTGTGTCTCTTTATGTTCTTTAGTGAATGTTAGACCTGACTGCCAGAGTGAGCTGGGAGCGGGGGGAAATGGACTCGCTGGCCTAACAGGTTCTGGTCAAGTGTCCCCATCTCCAGAGACCACAATTCTGAGCATCAGCCCATGAGACATACAGTAAGGAAGTCAGTGTGCACATATGTACACACAGGCAAAAGCAAGATAAAAGAGAGAAGAGAATCCCCTGAATCTAATACGACATCAGCAGTTGTCCTGAACAAAGGTTGTTCAAAATGTGAATTTACAAGGATGATTACTACCATGTTACACAGGGTGCAATAACTTTGTTGTTAGCACAGGAATTTGTCAGACGTGTGTCACACTGCAAGCGAGCAGCTGTAATTGCAAACAACAGCTGAAAGATGACTGGTTTCTGAAGCACCTGGTCCCCTGGGTCTGCACCGTAATCTTGTTCTTAAATTAAAATAATGACAACAAATAAGCAGGCAAAAAAGTTTCCACTGCAGAAATTGCTGGCTTATTACACTTTATGGAGACAGAATGTCCAAGTGTGTCCATCTGTACATGCAGCAGGCCTGCTGGAGTCTGTGTTCTTAGACCATACCACCATAGGTGGGGCTCAGTGGGGACCCAAATTAAAGCCCAACCAGTTGCCAAAGAGTCTATTCTGTCCCATGGTGACACCCTGTGTTACACTGAAAAACTGTTCTCCATAAGGTTTTCATGTCTGTCATCTTTCTGAGGCAGATCTCCAGGACTTTATTCTGAGGCACCTGAGTGGGTTTGAACCACCAACATTCCTGTTAGTAGTCAAGCGCTTAAGCATTTGTACCATTATGGATTCTGCTCAGTGGAGACCGTCGCTTTTCATTCAGAGAGGCCTGGACTTGAATCCTGTCTCTGCTGCTTTCTAGCCTTGTGTTCTTGGGAATGTAAGTTACCTTCTCTGATCCTCCATTTTGTGATATCGGTTCCCCCCACAATCTGAAAGTAGAGAGTTCCTATGCAACCTTTTGTAAACTGAAATGGCATAAAGTGGAGAAGCAATTACCTTTAATTTGTATGGGAAATGTTTCGGAGTGTTCCCAGATCCCCAGAAATCTACCAAAGCATGCTAGATAACACAACACCCACATATAGTGTTCACAGACAGCTCAAAGCTACAGCGGCAAGATGCTGAGTGTAGTTCCTGGGGAAGGAGCTAGATACCGCCAGTCTAGCTGCTCAAAGTGCACACAGCCTCTAACAGCTCACAGCAAACCAACGTTAGATGTGTTTCACTTTTCATCTTCTTTCATAAAAGTAAAAATTCTCTTTGGATTTCAGATTTATTTCAATTAATGAAAAGAGGTACTAAGGTAGGTCCTTGGTAAAAGCCAAGCGACATAAAGCAAACTTTTGGAAAGCAGGGGACACCTGTACCCATAGCCATCAAGTAGAGTCCTACTCAGAGGGACCCTACCGGACTGGGTAGAAGTGCCCCCATAGTGTTTCCAAAGCTGTAAATCTTTATGGAAGGAACTGCCACATCTTTCTCTCACAGAGCGGCCAGTGAGTTCAAACCACTGATCTTTCAGTTAACCACTGAAAGGCTAACTACTGCTCCCCACCCCCACCCCAGTGCTTCTCCTCATGAGATGGAGATAGTAATCTCTAAATTACAGAGTTGCTGTGAACAGGAGAAATCGTATGTAGAACACTCAGCACTATGCCTAACAATCAGCATTCAAGCAACGGTATGACTATTAAGTTCCAATTTCAGTGGTATCACTTAAAGTTGCTGTCAGACTTGCCTAACTAAATATTATCCTGCTGCATAATTCAAAGGTGACCTCACCCATATATTACACAGCTGTTGTTGTTTTAAAGAATTAGAAACATTGCTACTTTTACCAGGTTCTGAGAATGTGGGGAGAGAAAGGAGATGGCAATAATTGTTTGAGGTTTCTCTGGGAGACGAGACTCAGGAAATTATGTTCTCCAGAGAAGAATGGTTTTGGAGGAACTAAACAGCTCATCTTAAAACATGCTGTCAGACCTATTTTCCACTTTTAAAATTTCTTCCAGGTGTGAGAAATTCTCAAGATGGTCCATCTTCAGAAATAAAGGGTGTATGAGATTGCTAGGCCAGACATAGATTGTTGATTCACACCCAGCGATATGTAAGCAGCACGAATTGGGGAAAGTGGGGAAAGAAATCTGTTCTAGGACTAGGACCTTTATGTAAGAATCCAGTCATTAAGACCATAGGTGCCATTCGGGCTAGATTGTGGAACTGGAGGAGGGGCTTTTAGGAGACGGGGAATGAAACTCTTTGCAGGCCGGCTGTGTGGTGCACTTGCCCATGTCTACCGGGTTGGGTGCCTGATTTTGCAAAATTGAATAAAGAAAACCTCACTCTTGCTAAAATGAGTACAGACTGGATTTCTTGAGTGTCAAGATCGACAACGTTTTGCACACAGGAAAGATACGACATGGAAGTCCTCTTATATTTGAAAGTATTTATGGAGCCTGTGAAATAGGGCCCGTTTTCTGCCTGACCACTCTTAGCAAAATTTCTGACATGGATATAATAGGGTATTTCAATGGTCAAAGTGTCTTCTGGCCCCTTCTAAGAACAAAAATTGTGCTATAAGTCTGGTACAAATACTAGTCTACTAGGTGCCTCAAGGTTCACAAAATGCTACACCTACAGAACAACTGTTGTCAAGACTGAAACCGTTCTGTAAGAGCAAATATCTCAAATCCTTTTCCTAGACATGAGAAAGCACCTCGTGTTCTAATTAAGCCGAGGTAATTAGCCACCCACGGATATTGAACGCAGCTTCCCATGGCCAGGCAATCATCTCTATTAAAACCCATTAAAAAGTAAGGAGCAAACCCAAAAGCTTCATTGGTACACACTTCCCACAAATTTAATACCCCCTCAGACACATCCCCAAAATGAGGCCAGTTCTTGGCTTGCGATGCAAGTTTTCATGAAAGGGCCGCCTCCAAAATGATGAGGCAGTTCCAAAAAGGAAGCAAAAAGCAGTACATTTAACCAGCTGGGGGAACAAAACCCATTCACAGAGGGAGATCCTGCATCTCTGGTTGGTTGGACAAACGGAAGACTCAGGTTTCCCTGGTCTTTGAATTCCCTGGTGGACATAGCAGCTGACTCATTTACTTCAACCTCATACCAAACAAAACAGTTTCTGCCTACTAGAATCAAACCCCAAGATTCACACTATGTAACCAGACCATTGTCCAAACTGATATTCATCAGAACTGTCTTCTCCTTGTTACAATTTGTCACCGAAGCAATGATAGGGAGCATGCTGGGGCCTCATGCAAGTCTGTGTACTGCAAACCTGAGAGTTTCCCAACTGAATTCCAAGAAACTCAACTCACTGTCTTTCCTCAAACCAGGGAGGCCCACACCTACCCAAGAATCCCCCCTTAATGAGAATGTTGTCATCGTTGTAGTTAAGTGCCGTCAAGTCGGTTCTGACGCATAGTGACCTTGGTTTAGGGTTTCCAAGGAATGGATGGTGAGTTTGAACCTCTAACTTTGCGGTCAAACTGAATTTACAGTCTAGTGTGTATCCTACGGTGCCACACCATGACTTCAATAATTCCAAACTACAAGCAATGTAACAGATAGTGAATAGTTTACATTTCATGCATTGCTTTTCTCGTGTCATACTGGACTGCACAGATCCACAGCTCTGTTTAAATTGTCATGGAAAGACACTCATCATTCACTGTTACGTGAACAAGCAGCCTAAGAAATTATGCAGAGTCATGATCTAATCTGAATTTTATAAAAATCCACACCTGTGTGCATAAAAAGTAGTTTGTAAGAATAGACACAGAAGGGTAACAATAACTATCTCTGAGAGGCAGAATTACGGCTAATCTTCATTTTCTACTTTGTACTCTTTATATTTTCTAAGTTTTTTTTGCAGTAAGCATGAGTCCTGGTGTGGTGCTGTGAGTTCATGTGCTGGGCTGCAAAGTCGCTTTGAATCGCAAGGTCGGTGGGCCAAGCTCATCAGCTGCTCTTAGAAAGCTCTATACAGAGTTACTATGGGTTGGAACCGACTCGATGGCACTTAACAGTAACAACGATATAAAGCTAGTCTTTCTTTTCTTTGTTGTAAAGAAACATCTGTTCTTTGTTTGAAATCATTCCACCCTAATCCTTGTGGCACTCGAGCCACACAGCAGCCCAATGTGTGTCGTACTCACATCCAATCATCATGATGGCCACTGCAAAGATCTTCTCGATGTCTGTGGATGGGGCAATGTTCCCAAAGCCCACGCTGGTGAGGCTGGTCATGGTGAAATACAACGAGGAGATGTAGACGGAATTCTTGCTGGGACCACCTTCCCACTTCCCAGAGCCAGATCCATTAAACTGGTAAGGGGTGCCGATGTCCATGGCCAGTTGGTAGAGCCAGCTGTTATTGCGGATTGTCTTGGTGTCCTCATCAAAGATCTCATAGTCCCCGATGCTGTACCAGATGCAGGCCATCCAATGAGCAGCCAGTCCAAACACACACACCAGCAGGACCAGTACCGCAGCTCCGTATTCAATATAGTGGTCCAGCTTACGGGCCACTCGCCCCAGACGCAGCAGTCGGACAACTTTGAGAGAGCTGAACAGGCTGCTGATGCCCTGGGGGGAAGAGGAACACAGAGTCAGGGCCAAAGATCAAAGATGCTATTCCTTTCCCTCCTTCCCCACCATGCTGTTTTCTTAAGCAAGTGTATGTGAATTTCATGAGCTGAAATACTATGCAATCTTAAAAAATTGTTTTCACACAAGGAAAAATGCTCACTATATGATATCAAATGAAACACCAAGAGACAAAGCTGTATAGTCCTGGTATGGTGCTGCAGGATAATGTGCTGAACCACAAGGTCGGTTTGAACCACAAGGTTGGTAGTTCAAACTCACCAGCTATGAATCAGAACTGACTCGACAGCACTTAACAACAACAACAAGTGGCACTGTGGGATAAACACTGGGCTGCTAGCCACAGGTTGGAGGTCCAAACGCACCAATCACTCCATCAGAGAAAGAAGAAGTTTTCTGCTACCATAAAGAGTCACAACCTTAGCAATCCTATACTGGGTCACTATGAGTCAGAACTGACTCGACAATACTTAACAACAGACAAATATATTGAAGGTGGTGGTGGTTATGTGTCCAACTCATTGCAACCCTGCATAAGGTTTCCGAAGCTGTACGGGAGCAGAAAGCCTCATCTTTCTCCTGTGAAATGCTTGGTAGTTTCGAACTGCTGATCTTAGAGTCAGCACCCCAATTCATAATTACTATGTTACTGTTGTTGTTGTTAAGTGCCATTGAGTCAGTTCCGACCCATAGCGACCCTGTACAGGGTTTCCGAGGCTGTAAATCTGTAAGGGAGCAGAAAGCCTCATCTTTCTCCCACGGAGCGGCTGGTAGTTTCAAACTGCTGACCTTAAGATTCGCAGCCCGATTCGTAACCCCTATGCTACCAGAGCTAGAGCTCTGTATATCTATATTATTTAATTCTAATTATGTATATGTTATGTCATTCCAATTATTCATAAGAACACACATATAAGAGAGGGTTTCAAAGGAGTTCAAGGGAAAATTTCATTATCTTTTCGCTCCATTTTCCACGAACTTCTTGAAAACCCTTCATATTTGGAAGGGTTGTGGATATATTTGCCTATACACATTTATATAGTGTATATAACACTTGCATTTATTTACTTAATTTTTATAAGAGCAAGTATTACTTTTATAATTAGGAAATAGATATCGTCTAAGAAAAATCAGAGTTTTAAAACATACGAATAAATTGTTTTTAAAAAGCTGGGGGGGGGGGGAGGAAACACTAAGACTCTTTTCCTAGGAAAGTCACAAATAGTTGGAAGGCTACATCACTTCTGCCAGGCTGCTTAAATACCATAGGGAGGAAATCTGAGAGCTGAAATGAACCTTCTTATTTCCCTGGTCAAGCTTCCTCCCTTCTTGCTGGTTTATACTTTTCTGCCAAGACAGATCTATTCTCCCAATGGTAGTTCTGTAGGGAACAGCACAGTGAGAGAAATGCATACAACATGGCCTCTGACCCAAACTGCCGCTAATTTGTTGTGTGATTTGGACAGTTCATTCTCCCTTGGTGCTCTTATGTAAACAATGAACAAGGCAGACTGGAGGCTCTCTAGATATTCTCCAAAGGTGAACATGTTATTATTTCCAAGGAGAATTGAAATTGAAACAAACCACAGAAGCCACGGGTAGTGGTATCACTAGAGTTGGTTTCACTCAGTGTAGTAACTCATGATATCACCACTCCGCCATGGACCTCTTACCACACAGAATCCTTAGTAATGTTTGTTTTTGTTGCTAGGTGCCATTGAGTTGGTACTAACTCATAGCGACCCTATGCTAGGTTTCAACAGAATGAAACACTGGCTGGTCCTGTGCTAAGCTCACAGTCGTTGCTAAGTTTGAATTTATGGCTACTGTCACTGTGCCAATCCATCTACCAAATTACATTATTAGTTATTGTATTAGTAGTAATTGAGTTGTTGTTGTTGTTGTTGTTAAGTACCATAGAGTCGGTTCCGACTCACAGTGACCCTGCACAGGGTTTCCAAGGCTGTAAATCTTTAAGGGAGCAGAAAGCCTCATCTTTTTCTCG